TTCTGCTTCCTGAGGAACCTTCAGATCTTCTGTATCCAGAGGAAGAATCTGTCCTTCTGTATCTGGAAGAAGACTCGTTCTGATCAGATCTTCTGGGATTCCTGAACTTCCTTTGCCTCTACTTCCACAGTTGATTCACTCTTCTGGAGAGGAGAGAAAGTTCGTCTTCTTCTGATGAGGATCCATCAGATGTTTCTTCAACTGCCTGCAAAACTTTAGACTCAGATTGTTTGTTAGATTTTAATGCTAAAGGCTTACCTTGCTTCTGGGGTTCATCAGCTTCTAGCTCTATCTCATGACTTATGAGGGAGCTGATAAGTTCCTCCAGAGAAGTTTTGTTGAGATCTTTTGCTAGCTTCAGAGCTGTAACCATTGGCCTCCACTGCTTAGGTAAGCTTCTGATGATCTTCTTGACGTGATCAGCAGTAGAGTATCCTTTATCCAGAACCTTGAGACCAGCTACCAGAATCTGGAATCTTGAGAACATTGTTTCAATGGATTCACTTTCTTCCATTTTGAATGCCTCATACTTCTGAATGAGCGCAAGAGCTTTAGTTTCTTTGACCTGAACGTTGCCCTCATGCGTCATTCTGAGTGAGTCAAACATGTTCTTTGTTGTGTCTCTGTTAGAGATCTTTTCATATTCAGCATAAGAGATGGTGCTGAGAAGGATGGTTCTGGCATTGTGGTGATTTTTGAAGTCACGCTTTTGTTGGTCAGACATTGCTTTCCTATTAATCTTCTGACCGCTTGCATTCACAGGGTGCATGTATCCATCTGTCACCATGTCCCACAGATCAGCATCATGTGCCAGAAAGAAGCTTTCAATTCTGTCTTTCCAGTAATCAAAATTTTCTCCATCAAAGACTGGAGGTTTGCCGCTTAATCTGTCTCTGTCCTCATGGTTGTCATTGCTGGTGTGTTGATAAATTCCTGCCATTGTGTTTTTCTGACGCTGTATCTTGTACTGACACGGTTAAGTGTTTTAGCTCAGAACCAGGCGCTCTGATGCCAATTGAAGAAGTGAAAAACACAAGAAGGGGGGTTGAATTGTAAAAACTGGATATTCAACCGTCAAGGTGATTTCGCCTCTCTCCAACGAGGTCTTAATCCACTATATTCAACCGAATATTACAATCTGCTTTAACAACTGCTAAAGCCTTCTTGATCCAAACCACAAACCGGTTTGTCAAGGAATCACTTTCTTACAAAGAATTGAAATCTAGGTGTGTGAATGTTTTCTACAAAACTATTTATCACAACTGTGATACTACACAATTTAAGCTTAAGATAACTAGATTGCTAAAATAATTGAGTAAGGAATTTTGGAGCTTTTAGCAAAACTGAGAGTGAGGAAGATGATGAATAGCTTTTAGGCGTGTAGATTGGTGTAGAGCATTAGCCAATTCAATCTTCATTGACTTGTTTATATAGCATTGGAATTAGTGAACGTTGGAGCAATAATTCTGATTCAATGCCAATAACAATCTTTCCTTATTAAGCAGATCTTGTCTGGAATGATGCCGTTGGTAATAACTCATCTTGAATGCACAGTACCGTTGCCACTTAAGCGTGTTCTGGCTTTGGCTCATTCTGACGCTGCTTAAGTGCTGATGAACTGTTGTTGTCTTTATCAGAGTTCAGAGTGTTGAGCGCAGATCTGTTCATCAAGCTTCAGCATAAGCGTGAGTTGTTCTTCTGATTCTGGTATCTGATATAGCATCTTCTGATGCTGATGTTGATATCCAATATTCTGATGCTGATTATGATGTACTCTTGCTGATACCCATCAGAGTTTCTGTAAAACAGAAAGTAATTTTTAGGTAGCAAATAGTTCTTACATGAATCACATAATTAATATATCTTTTCATTTTGTTATCATCAAAACTTAAACTTAGGGTAGTAGATTCAAACTTTGTTCTAACAAAATGGTCTTAACAAAATATTTTATTCAATATACTACTTCGAAGGCAATCAAAGGAATTGTACTGGCAGATCATTTGGCTCATCAAGTTGTGGATGACTATCAGTCTATGAATTTTAAGTTCCCAGATTAGAATATTATGCTAGTTACTGATTATGAAAAACTTGGATCGTATTAAGGACCTGAATCGGGATCTCAATGGATTATGGTTTTTAATGGAGCTTCCAATGCATTTGGTAATGGAATCAGTGCTATGATTATCTCTCCCAGGGGTTGCCATACACCTTTCACCGCCAGGTTGTGTTTTGACTGTACCAACAACATGGCCGAGTACGAATAATGTATCATGGGTATAAAAGCTACCATCAATATGAGAATTAAATTCTTGAATGTATATAGGGACTCAGCCCTAGTGATCAGTCAGATTAAGGGAGAATGAGATATGAAGCATCTAAATCTCATTCCTTACCGAGAGCATGTGTTGACATTAATTTCGTACTTCGAGGAAATCACTTTTGAACATATTCCACTAGAAGATAATCAATTGGAAAATGAATTAGCTACAATGTCATCTATGTTAAAAGTTAGATGGGATAATGAAGCTCCTCGAATCACTATTGAGAGACTAGACGAACTGACGCATTGCTACGAAATTGATACAGATGGAGTAGAAGAAAAGCCTCAGTTTCATGAAGTGAAAGGATACCTTGAGACTCAAGAGTACCCTGAGGGGTCTATCAATGACAATAAATTTCTACGGAGGTTCTCTGCCAAGTTCTTTCTGAGCAATGGGATTTTGTACAAACGCAACCACGATTCGACTCTGCTTTGTTGTGTAGATAAGAAGGAAGCTGAGAAGATTATGGAAGATATGTATAAATGAGTCTTTGGTACTCATTCCAGTGGGCATACGATGACTAAGAAAATTCTGAGAGCGGGTTATTATTGGTCGACCATGGAAACTGATTGCCATCGTCATTCTAGAACTTGCCATAAATGCCAGATTTATACCGACAAAGTACATGTGCCTCCGGTTCCTTTGAATTTATTGACTTCTCCTTGACTGTTTGCAATATGGGGAATTGATATGATTGGAGAGATTAAGCCTACCCCTTCTAATGGGCATCGTTTCATCCTCATCTCTATTGATTATTTCACGAAATGGGTTGAAGCAACCTCATTTGCCTCCGTTACCAAGAATGTTGTTGCCCGATTCTTAAATACAACCTTATTTGTCGGCATGACATACCTGAAAAGGATCATCACAGATAATGGTACCAATCTCAACAATACTATGATCACAGAACTCTGCATGGAGTTCAAGATCAAACACCATAATTCTTCTCCATATCGACTAAAGATGAATGGCGTAGCGGAATCCGTCAATAAGAATATCAAGAAGATTTTTCAAAATATGACCGTGACGTACAAAGATTGGAATGAGATGCTGCCATTTTCTCTTCATGGTTATCGCACTTCAGTATGTATATCAACTGGGGTAACCCCGTTCTCTCTAGTCTACGGTATGGGGGGTGTCCTGCCTATTGAAGTCCAGATCCCTTCCCCAAGGGTTATGAAAGATGCAGGTTTAGACGAAGACGAGTGGATTCAGACTAGGCTAGACCATATAAATTTGATTGATGAGAAAAGGCTTACGACTGTTTGTCATGGTCAGATGTACCAGAAACACATGATCAAGGCCTTTAGCAAGAAGGTCAAACATCTAGTATACCAGACTGGTGATTTGGTAATAAAGCGCATTATCCTACCACAAGGTGATCGCAGGGGCAAATGGACTCCCACATACAAAGGGACATTTGTGATCAAGAAGATATTTTCTGGTGGTGCTATGATACTTACCACTATAGATGGTCAAGATTTTGTGCGCCCTGTGAACACGGACATAGTCAAAAAATACTACGCATAAAAGAGACACGCGAGGTTGACAAGCCTAGGCAAAAATAAGGGCATTCTGGCGAACCAAAAGGGTTCGGGAAAAAATTAGGGATATATATAAAAATTGTACACCCGGCAAGTCGAAAACATGAAAAGGCGACTTGGGAAAAAAAGAGTATCCCGGTGGATTGAAAACCTGAAAGGGCGGTTGTAATACCCCAACATTGTCCTACCCTTTTACTTTTATCTGGCTTATGCATCTCACACTTTTATCACATATGTGACTACCATTAGGTCATTTTACGCATCAGGCATGATCAATAATTTGGCATGAGATCAAGGGTATTGCGGAGTTAGGGTTTCTCCGTTCTTTTAAGCTCTCATCTTCATGAAAGTTTAGATCGACTGATCTCTTCAACAATCAGGGTTTGAAGTTAGGGTTTTAATTCAAGATGGATTTCACTATGCAAGAGAGTTATCATTTGAGTGTATCTTGTTTTTAACAAACTAGGGTTTGAATTTGGGCGCATTAAGAACTTCTTTCTCATCAAGCTATCCACCAAGGATTTCAATTAAAGAATTAGGAGTTTAATTCTACCAACGTATCAGTGTTAGTTTTAATTTTCATCAGTTAAGGGACTACTTATTTCATAAGTGGAGATTAATTGGTATTCCCTCGAATTAACTAGAACTTGGGAGTTGATATGAAATTAGGTTACATATGTGGTTCATTATGAATATCAAACAAATGTTGCAAGGTATATCCATTTAGATCTCTTGGAGTTCAATTTACAAGTATAAAAATCCGAAATGATAGATTACGATACTTCAAAAAACTGAGGCATTCATGGGTCTGTCATAGTTAATTCAAAGGCATCTAAACACTATGTTCGTCGTTCAAGTATATCATCACTCTATTAATGCTACTTAAAAATCAAGAAATGATGGGTAATATGCTAAGACAATATGCTTGGAATATATAGAGTTACGTCATTGATTTCAAAAGTATGTGACAAATGTCGTAAATATCACGACATCGTCATTTTCAAAGTTAAAAATCAATACAGGTACGCAAAAAAATATACATGGAAGTCCGCCCTAATACAGTCCTAAAGTTTCATCGTGATCACATCTTCATGCTCCGAAATACGATCCTTTCGAGGGTCCTGGAGCTTCCTTCATGAGTCAACTTTTCTTTAGCCATCACTGCGTCCAAATATCTAACTTGCATCATTACTGGAACATGTACACCATAACAAATTTGCGGTCAAACGCAACCACAAAAGACTTGCCTTCAACATGTATGAATATGTGTTCGTCAGCTTGGGAAAACAGAATCTTGCCTGCACAAGAGAAAAGAAAGAAAAGTGATACACATGCGATTTCAAGAGGTTCCAAGCGCAAACATAATAAAGTGTGAAATTAATGCAAATTACATCAATCATGCATATCTAAGGAACTATAATTTGCATCATTATGCTAAGATCTGTGGCATTACATCAAGGACCGATAAGAACAATAACAAACAAGGGAGAATTTAAGGCATCTCGAGTGCAACGAAAATCAAATTCTGCACTGAGTTCAAACACAAAATTAGAAGCAGAGGGAGATAATGCCGCAAAAAGGGTCACAACATGTCTAAACATACCAGTCAGCCAACTTTCAACCAGAAATAGAAAATAGAAATAGTCTAACGGAAATAACAACTTCTATCCTAATTGTCATTAGAATCCAAACAGAATTCCAAAACTTCTTCTAACCATTTTTTCCTAACTATTTCACTAACCAACTTCTCTAACCTGCAACTAACTGATTATAACAGTCTCTAACCAACTAACTACCAAAAAGAAACAGCTTATAACATAAACCTCATAGCAGAATTTCACTCCCAAAAATTGAACAATCAACCCTCTAACTCCCATAACAGTTTCCAACCTATCTCTAACTACCCTCCTAACCAACTGTAACTAACTTCCTAACTTCTCAACAGAAAGAAGCTTGCAGCCAACATAGAAGTTATAACAGAAAGATTCTTCCAACAAACAGGCTGTAACAAAATACATAAGAAGAAAATCCTTAATAGAATATAATAGAGAATAACAGAAAGATTCAAAAAGAGAACTCACCAAAAATATCTGAAAAACTCTCTCAATCCCCATCACCTTCTTCTTCACTCTCTAATTCTCCATCGCTCTGGAGGATACAACACCAATTCTAAAAAAACAAAAACTCCTCTTCCATCTTTCTCTGTGAATCCTACCTTCACCTCCATCTTTCAATCCTCAACAACATCTTCCCTTTGCAACGAATCTCCATCTCCATAATCAAAACCACTTCTTCGCTCCCTTCACCATCTTGATCATTTCTGCAACTTCATCACCGTAATCACCTTCAACAACAACTTGCAATCTTCTTCAATCATCACCAAGAATTCTATAACGATTCATCTTTTTCATTCACACCAGAAAAGTCAGAGGGGAGGAGAGATAGAAAACTCACCAGAAAATCTCTTCTCTCATGGAACAATTCTTGAAGCATCTTCATCCTCTTCTCAATCTCGCTGCAACATTGCAACTTCAAACAACATTCATCTTCCTCTTCGCAACATCATAACAAAACTCTCAATCTCATTTTCAATCTTCAACCTTATGACCTCAACCCTTCCCTCTGTAATCTCTATGATTTTTGCTTTACTTTCTCAACAACCTTCAATTATGATTTTTATCTCCGACCTTCATCAACGGTATCAACAAGCTCCTTCACCATAGATAACAATGAACACTTGCATCAAAGCGCAATGCTACATCATTTTTGTAACAAGAAATACAGAAATTCAGGGGAAGTGAAAGAAGATTCGAAGTCAGAAGTGAAGAGTAGGGAAGGAAAACGTTACCTGAGTTCGTAGCATCGTCGGAATCTCTCCATCTATTTCCGTCTTTAGGGTTGTATTCCTAGGGTTTGACCTTCACCTAGGTTGGTCGAGTATGAGAATAAATTTATTGAAATGGGGACTAGACTTAAGAAGAAGAGGAAGGGTGGACTATGTAATTAGTAATTCAAAGTGATATAGGTCCATGTCGCCGTCGAAGGCGATTCATGAAGCGACGAAGCTTAATCCGAAATCGCGGGAAGAAAGAGATATGAGCGAAGCTAGAGGACGAAGAGGTGGAATCGATTGCAACGAAACCATTGGAGAAAGACGCGAATCGATGAACCGTGCCATTGAAGAATAAGAAACACAATCGGAGAAGACGGCGGAGTAAGTCTGTTTGCGCCACAGCTTGGATGAAGAAGAAGGCTCTGTTCTTGTAATTTGAAGAGCCACTAATTTTCAACCCTAATCTTCTCCAAACGGCAGCGTATCATCCCTTTCCTTTAATTTTAATTTTTTTTTATCTTTTTATTGTTATTAAAATAAATGCTGAAAGAAATTTGATGAGCAACTTGTTGTATCAACCCTAATTTGTTCTCTCCTAAGGCCCATTACCATATTTTGTGGTTTGAAAATGATACAAACAAAAAGGATCCACGGACTGGGCTTTGTACCATATATTGAATTGTTGGATTGTACACCATAGATCCAGCTTCACACCTCCTGAAGTTTTATTTTCAATGCTTGTTTCAATTGCACTTGCGATTAATTTTGGTGATTTATTTTTTGTGATATTGGTAAATAAAAAGAGATTTAGGTGAAGATTTCACAAAGCTCTAAAGCTTTCCAAGAGCATAATTGTTATAAAGTAAATTCAAGGAAGCTTTTGGTAGAGTTTTCTTATTTCCTGCGTGGTTATGAAGAGGTAACGGGCCTTCTCCGTTCGGTATCATCGTGACCTTATTTTATTCCTCATTTCTGCACTTTACCGCCTTTCTGGATATCATGAGAAGTAGGAAATAAAGAGCGTGCGCTCGAAGTCACTGTTTAAAGACCTGTAGCAGGCATTTCGCACTTCATTTGCTATATGTGTTGTGCTTGTGTTTGTTTCCTTGGTTGTTGATCGATGAGTCACTCAATTTAGAAATTGAGATCACGACTTTGCTCTCAGTGCATGCTCCCTATAGGATTTTATTGCTTTCCTTTATTTCTTGTTGATCAATGGGTCACTCAATTTAGAAATTGAGATCACGACTTCGCTCTCATTGCATGTTCCCTATAGGATAGTTTTGTTAGACTTTATTTGGCATGCTAACTTAGATAGGATCTATCTAGGTGTGCTCTCTTGAGCTTATTAGCTTGTTTGTTTTATCCTTGTACATACCATGTTCCCTTAGGATGCGCTTGCTCCATTCGGATGCAAGTTAGACCTTAGGTTGTAAACCATGCATGCTAACATTAGGTAGAAATTTCCCCTTTCATCCTTGACGTAGGGCTACCATTGCATGATAACATTAGGTTAGAAATAGGCTAGTCTCCCTTAGAATCTTTTCTTCCCCTTTTTGCGTCCTTTCATTCAAAACTAAAATCTTTTCCTTAGCAAATCATAAAACATACTAATCACACTTAAACCCCTTTTCAAGGTAACACAAGTACAATCTAATTCAAACCTTTTTGTGCGCCCAAACACCTTTTCTCTAAAACCCTTTTCAGGTAAGGACATGATTAGTTTACTTCTGTGCCAACGCATGAGTCTCTAAAGGTTGAGCTGCGGTAGAAGGCGGAATTAACGTTGTCCATAAAAAACACAAAACAAACAAAACATGTTAGCCGAACTACGGTAGATTTGATTCCTCAAAAAGGATACATAGGCATTAGGGTAGGGCCCAAGCGAGTATAACTTTATTTTCCCTACATTCTTCTCTCCTTTCTTTTGCATGCATTCTCCCTTTAGTAATAGTAAACAGTAACCATAGATTAAACACACCCATAAGATAGACAACAAGAATGGATACTGTAGAGTACTACGGACGTGTGGGGTGCTAATACCTTCCCCTCGTGTAACAGACTCCCTTACCCGATCTCTCGGTCGCAAGACCGTGACTTCTCCCTTCTTAGGTTTTCTCGATGTTTAACTTTCCCTTCATGTGGGATAAAAGACGTTCGATGGCGACTTCATTGTTTGATGATTTTCAGCCGGTTGTTTTAGCTGGCGACTTCACTGGGGACATGTCAACCAAATGCTGGTCCATCCCGGAGTCTCTCCTACCTCTTGTTTCCTTTATTTGGGTGTTTATTTTTTATGCTTTTTGTTTATTCATTGATGTTATATATACTTGAGCATATGTATGCATTTCATTTTAGTGTTTTCCATATACTACTACTGTATTGGATCTGCTTCTTATTGGGTTGGGATGTTACTATTGAGGTAAAAGGCCCAGTACCCAGGCCAGAGTGCACTAGAACACTAGAAATAGAGTGGAACATGAACGAGTAGTTGACTTAGGTCTCACTATCGCCGCCATGTCGTCCATGCTCAGATAAGATACAAATCAGGGGCTACCGTTTTCACGTAGATGATTCGGTGATAGTTTTTCAGAAGTACCCCCAATTCTGAGTTACCCAACCTTACCTTGACCTAGTTTTCACCTGTGAGTGGGGAGAGAATTATTATCACAGGTACAGATGGTGACTATGCTCAGACGGTGACTATTATTTCTAATGGTTATATTCTGGATTTCTGTCAGTGACTTATTCAGATAGCGACTATATTCAGATGGTGTGTTGTTGGTGACTATGGGGTTCTTGGATTTATTTTCTGAGTTCCTGACTTGTATATTTGGAGGTTCATTCGGGCCTTCGATCTTGGTATTCCCAACATGTTCAACAAAAGACTCAACAGTATCCGATGTTCCAGAAGCCTTGATCCCGTACAATGGGAGATCTACATGGTACTTGGTTCTTATATATGCAGAAGCTATGTCAGACCTTTGATCTGATAATATCCATATGGTTCAGAATAGTGCATCAATCATATTCGAAAGTGATGAAACTTTGATCCTATGTCTTTGCATGCATAACATGGTTAACCACATGCTTAACATACATGTCCTATTATTTCCAGGGAAGCATATTTACAAGTCTTGTGCTGAGCAAGAGTCGCCACCGACTTTTCTTTTATCTAAAAGGAAAGGTGAAAAAGCACAGGAAAGACCTTTGAGATTATTTCTTGAGTTTTGGGGGTAGATTATGAAAAGGGAAGGTATTAGCACCCTTTTCATCCATGTTTTTCTATGGGCTCTTAGTTACTTTCTAGATCACTTGCTTTTTGTTTGAAATTGTGCTTTGTGTGGTTTTTTGAAATTATTTTGTAAATAAGCCATTGTTTAAGCAATCTTTGTAATGATTCTCGTTCGTAAGAATGTATACAAAGATGTTGGTCTTTTGAAAATGTTTTCTAATTTTGTAAGAGGTTTTGAAAGTGTAGGTGTTTGTGTTGAAAATAGCAAGGATGTTTGTTTTGAAATGGAGCAAGTAATTAAGAGCATTCTACCTACTCAAAAGTCTTTCTTATTCATTTTCCTTTTCCTTTGACATTGTTATCTTACCATTTATTTGGTAAGTAACCCTATCTTTGGATGTAAACGGGACGGGTGTGGGTCATCGTATAACCATGATTAGCAATGTTGCAAGGTATCTTAGCATTCTCTTTAGGGACTAAGATCATTTGAAAGGCAACATAGATAGCGTCATCGAGAGACTATGATCTTGTATTTTTGCTTTGTTTTTGCTAAGATACCTCACATGCATAATATGTCCATTTTGTAAAGGCAACCAAGTGGATTTACCCTAGGGTGTGCTTGTGTGCAAATGTATTTTTTTTCATGCTTGATTTTGTCTTTGATTAGGGTTTTCTATTTGATTGGTTTTAGTCTTTCCATACAAACCCTAATTACTAGCATGTTATATAAAGCGATAAATTGTGGAATTTAAAGTTACTACGCTATTACAATACTTGTGGGAGGGGGGAGTACAAATTTCAAATGGGGATTGCAAGAAAATAAAGCCTAATTATCTATTACAACCATATTGAATTGGTACAAAAATTTAAATAAATAATGTACAAGATGAATAAATATGCAAGAATGTGAAATGTGAAGAAAATGGATATTTGTTTGGATTTTTCTAGAGAAAATGGATATTTGTTTGGATTTTTCTAGAGAAAATGGGTTTTGATTTTAACTTAATTAATTAAAGGGAAAAACAATTAATTAAAGTAGTAAAAGGTAAAACCTAAAATTACTAAGAAAAGATTTTAAATAAAACCCTAAATCTATTAATTGATT